CCAAAGTCAATATGTCAGAAATAAAAGCCATAGAAACTTCAACTGTGACAAGCCCAAGAAAGCTAACAGAACATCTGCAGTGCAACAGTTCTGCCAAGATAACCCCAATGAGGATTATTTCACAGTAAGTTCTGTTAGAGTCGCAGAGGTGTCAAACAGTACTGATAGTGGAGCTCTAAGGTCTATTAAAGTCAGGCCCCCCAGCAACAAGACTGGCTCAATGATAGTCGAAGTCGGTACCGAGGCCTGAGCAAACCTGCTTCCGATAAGAGTATTTCGAATATTGTGTCCAGATTTATTAGATGCTTATGGGAAACCGAAAACCTGTCTGACCAACATCCGTTAAAAGAATTTGAGAGCAGTGAACAATATGAAATTCAAGCATTTTTCGATCAAATTAAAGTGCATATCGGGCGAGACAAACTGGATCAATACAGACTTCTACATTCTGAACCAAGAAGTTGGACTAATTATTTCGGGTCTGCCAAGCCTGACAGCCCTAGGCATGGTGACAATTCATGAGACACGGATGTATCCTCAAACAACCATGTCCGTCCAGTCGGTGGATGATTTAAAGAAGTCAGGTTCAGAACCAGTTGTCCAAGGTAAGAAAATTTCCTATACATAAAAAGGAGGAGCTTCAAACCCAGCTGGAAGAAATAGAAAAAATAGGAGTTGTCAAAAAGGTATCAGAACCAACAAGTTGGGTCACCAGCATGGTTTGCACAATGACAGATGGCAGTCTACACATATGTCTGGATCCAAAAGACTTGAACAAAGCTATAAAGAGAAGCCATCACAAGACGCCTATGCAAGAGGAAATCACACAAAAGTTTGCAAATCCATGATTTTTCGGCAAACTTGATGCCAGTTCATTCCTCACTACAATCAACACTCCTTTTGGCCACTATGTGTGCAGTGTGGTGCAGCGGTAGCGATCTCGTCTAGCAATCTTGCTGACCTGCGTTCAAATCCCTCGCCGCCAGTGGATGGTAACCTCGGCCATTCCTTGCACACAGAAGCAAAATGAAACAGACACTATGTCACACCAAGAATATCCATTGCAACAAATGGAATTTCATAAAAAAAAAAAAAAAATAAATCTCTGATTGCCTCTTGGTATGATTATGTCACAAGATGTTTTCCAGCAAAAAAGGGATCAGATCCTCGAAAACTGCCCTCGTACTATTGGTAATACTGATGATGTAGTCGTGTTTGGGAAAACTGAAGAGGAGCAGGACATAAATCTGCATAACCTCTTCAAGATAGCCAAGCAGCAAGGATTAACTTTCAACAGTGCAAAATGCATGATCAAACAAGAACAAATGTTTTTTTTTTGGCACTGTTTACAAGGGAGGCTCTCGCCAGATCCAGACAAGGTATCAGCAATTAAAGCACTGCTGACCCTGACAATTGTTACGGAGCTGCAACAATGTTTGGGAACGGTCACCTATATGTCGCCATTTATCCCAAATCTGGCTGATGAAACTGCAGCACTTAGAAGTCTCCTAAAAAATGGTGTAGACTTTACATGGTCACCAACCCACGAGAAGGCATTCGAACACATTAAGAATATTCTATGCACAGATGCAACACTGGCACATTCCAATCCAAATAAACCAATAGTCATACAAGTACAAAAGGGCAATGGAGCTGCAATAGTGCAAGATGACAAGTCTGTCGCCTATGCATCTCTGTCTGAAAGAGAGCAACGCTATGCCACTATCGAAAGGGAACTATTTGCAATGGTGTTTGAATGTGAAAGATATCATACTTACGTATACGGCAAACATTCAAGGTGGAGAGTGACTACAAACCACCATAAGTGATTCAACTAAAGTATCTGACAGCCGCACCGCCCAGATTGCAGTGTATGCCGATGAGGCTGCAGCACTATGATGTCACGATCCGATACAAGCCAGGAAAAGATCTCTTATTAGCAGATGGTCTGTCACGTTTGTCATCAACAGACAACCAACATATTACTCTAGACATAAAAAACAAACTTTGTTACATTTAGCAACGAGAAACTAGTCAAACTTCGACAGGAAACCTCAGGAGACGTCACCCTACAAAGAAGTCATTATCCAAGGATGGCCAGAGAAGATGAAAGATCTACCGAGAATGCTAGAGCCATACTGGTCCTTCAGAGACGAGTTATCTATTGAAATTGGACTAGGGTTAAATGGCAGCAGGGTCATAATCCCAGCATCCATGCAGAAACTTGAACTCGACCACATCCGCGAAGGACACCAAAGCGTCACGAATTGCCAACTTCGAGCCAAAGACTGTGTGTACTGGACTTCATCAAGGACATTAAAGACAGTCAAGAAATGTCAAGGTCACAAACAAAGGAAACCCTCATCCCGCATGAACTTCCTACACGACCATGGCGATATGTCGGAACAGATTTTTTTCATTATGGAGAAAATGAATACCTGATTATAGTTGACTACTACTCAAAGTTTCCAATTATCAGGAAAATGCCCATGCATGTCAC